ATCTCATGCCATCACTTTCTTTTATATCACAACCTTTTCATAAAAATTTAGAACAGCAATCATATTTGAGGCTGACGGTAATATATTTTAATTATTAGTCTCAATAATTTAATAAAAATTATCACAAAAGTTAAAGATTTGATTTCACATGGGTCACTAGTGGATAACTTTAGAATTGTTAGTTTATTTTGCAACATACGCCAATTGAATTGCAATATTTGGTTCACCATCCGCAAGGCCAACTCCATCGTCCAAGGGTTTGACATGTGCATGTCCACGGCGCCGCCAATTCCCAACCCGTTTCACAACAGTACATAGCAGTACTCCAAGAGCAATACTTCCTGAAACGATGAACAAACCTGCGAAAGGCCAAGGCCCCAAACGCGACGTCCCATCAACTTGGCTTAATAAAGAACAATTGAAGGTAGACAGCAACATTGTATCTAATTGCGGCATTTTTCTTCTCTCAATTAGTTCAATGATCGATGTCGACACGTCCACAGCTAAAGTTGAACCTTTTGGAAAAGCCTGCACCATAAAAACACTTCCTTTATTAAAAATCATTGCTAAAACATCGAAAGAGATTTTTAATTGAACTTACAAAACCGATGCCACCCAGATCGAAAGTAGCTGCTGTGGTGTAGCCTTTGCAGTACTTAGCAAGAAAGACCTTCGCATGGGGAGTTATGAAGAAGGCTGCTTGAATTTCTCCATTGTCAAAGGCCTTTGGATAATCATCAATGGAAGAGAGGGTCTTAATATTATCAGGAGAAATCTGCAAGACGTTGTTTAGATATCGCATGATAAAAGAATGAAAGTTGCAGCCCACAGTTGCGTTTGTTTGCCTCAATGTTTCAATATCTACAACCGAGGGAGCAAATCTCGACACTGTCATCATGGAGGTAAGGCTTGCAGTGAAACTTGAGGTTACCACAAGAATTACAAACAGCCATGGCGCTAACACCAGCCGAGCTAAACCACCGCCCACCTCTTCCCCTGCATGTGCATTCATAACAATTTTTGGTTGTTTTAGACAGGAAAAAAAGTACTCAAAAACAATTTTCGGTTGTTGATCTTACTATGTGCGTTAAAAACGACAGATATTGCAAACCAGAGCATGTCGCCGAATCCTGATTTCAACCTTTCACTTTCTGGCCTAACAAACCAGACAACAGAGATTATGAACATATGGGACATTGGCAATATTATCCACATTGTCGTAGTAAACGTTTTCATGAATACCCATATTTCTTTCCAATTCCTTTTCTCTTCTTTCACTATCATAAGAAGCCCAGACACCATATATGACTCTGTGAAGTCCACATATTGAAATCGGTCTGCAAATATTCCGATATCTCCCACTGCAGCATCCAAACCCTGATACAAAAAACAGAGCATTTTCATATAAATAGACCAATCTTTTCAATTATATACTAAGAATTACTGGAAAACTAAAGTGTATAGAAGAAATGTTTGGTTTTCCCCATTTATTTACCTTTGCGTGAACTTGCTTTACCAATTCATCATAGGAGCCATTGAAGGGAACCAACTGGTAATGCAATGGATAAGGCAGGTTTTTTACGACAGCTTCAAACACAGAAATGGAATATCCAGAGATGTAAACCCCATTGATGTGATCGTATGATACTTTCACAAATTCGTGAAAAGTATTATTAGCTGGAACTCCAATTTTTAAAATTCTGTGTTCTTCAGAATTAGAGTCAAGATTCATCCGTCGTTTCAGTCCTGTTTGTTCATTCCCTTCCCAGAAAACGAATCTTGGAAATTCCAAAACCCCATTTTTAATTTCTTCATCTTCCATCAAGCTGTTGAAAAATCCCACCTTTTGTCTCCAGAATCCCATTTCTTTGTAGCTCTTACCCACCACGTAAATGATTTCAAAAGTGGGTGGTTGCTTCAACGTACCATTCTCGAATCCTATGCTACCACTAAGGCCTTCAAATTCAGTGGCTAGAATTTGCTTCAACAGTTGTTTGTTGGTGAAATTTCCTTGCAATTTATTCATGGCTGCGGCCACGGCCCATGATGCATCGTAAGCTCGAAGGGCAAAGATGCTCGGCTCCGCACTTTTCTCCTCCTCTTCCTCTTCTTCATCATGATGCTGATATTCTAAACGATACATTCTACGGAATTTTCTTCTGAATTTCTTGAATGAATCTTTGGAATGGTTAAAATAAGTTCGAAACCCAATGACATCTTGCATGTTATAGAAATTAGAGGAATCTAAAGAATCCATAAGACTGGATATCTCATCTCCAACAATCCAAACGAATCCATTATCCATCATGTTCATCCTTTTTGCTCTGTGAAAAAGGAGTTTGGCCAACTCTATTGAAAATTGCACCACAATGAACACCCTGTTCCGGTCTCGACCCATGAGACTTTTGAGCTTCTCCTCAATCATGGCTTCTGTATGCGAGGAAGAGAAGGCAGAGATTTGCTCAATCTCTGCATTGAAAACTCGAAGTTCGTTGGAGAGGAGAGTGAAGGCCTCCATGTTGATCGACATGTCGTTTCTGTTCTCGTAGATTACAGTAACTTTATGCCACTGAAAATGTCCGACGATGGCGGCTGCGCACTGCATGTGGAAGGTGATGTGGTGAGCCATTTGAATAAAGGAAGGCAACGGCAATAGAGGAGGAACAGAAGCAGCAACTGGGAGCGATATGGTGGCAATATCAACGCTGGTTTTGTTAATCTCGGAGATAAATTGCATTTCTTGGAAAGTAAATGCTCCAAGAATGGCACTCACTTCTTTGCTGCTAATCAGATCCAAAGCTGAAATAAATTATAATACTAATTAGAGAATCATTAGTATGACCAAATCATTGATATTCATATATGAATCCTCAAGTGATGAACTACAAAAACAACTATAAAGTTTAAGTCACATCATATTTGGTGAAATATTATTCTGTTCTTGTTGTTAACTTTGACATATTTAGTGTTGATAACTACACATTTTTCTATAAATTAGTTTTGATATTGACATGACATAAATATATTAGGTTATGAGCTTGACCTTAACATTACCTTATTATCTGTTTGTTCCTTTTTGTTTAAAATAAAATTAACCTTGTTGGGAGGCAAGAATGTGACGAACATGCTCATGCTTCGTGGATTTGTTTTCTTATTTAATATGTTGTTGTTAATTCAATTTATTTTATGTAATAAATTCAATTCAACTCTTTTAAAACAAGTCTTAAACTTACACCCGCGTCACAGCTAATAAATATTTCTTGTCAGCCTGAAAAAAAATGAAGTTAGTTTCCTATTAGTTGTTTGGAGTTAAATACTTAGAAATTTAAAATTTAAAATTAAAAGATTCCAACGCAAGTCACATTTAATTAATCAAGCCTACTTATGTTAAATTATAAGAACACAACGACTTGTGTATGGTCCTCATTTTTAAAAAATATATGCCTTCAAATTTCAATTAATAAATTGAGAAGATTATAAGATGTTCGACAAAATAAAAATATTCCGTTTCATTTTGAAAGCAAATCTTTTAGCTCCAAATTGATTAAAATGGTTAGCATTTTAGATCTAAACCAATCAATCACTGGAAAACAAAAACTAATTAGAATTGGCTTATAATTATTTGGTTTTTAAGAATTACGTCCTGATTTCTTGATTTTTTTTTTTTTTTTAATTTATAGCTAAATTAAAAAAAAAAAAAAGCAAAAATAAAATTCTAAATCTTATTTTTAAAAAATTTTAAATCTTACTAAAATATGATATAAGTTTTCAAAAAGTTGATTAATTAAAAATACAGAAAAAAGCCTTCTCAGTTACTTAATGATATGATATTGTCTACTTTAAACATAAACTCTTATTACTTTGTTTTTGTTTTCTTAAAAAAGTTTTGTAACAATGGAAATAGTGTTGCTTACCTGATCTTTCTTTGAAGTATCTAATGTGACACTACTCGTTTCAATAATCCTCGACGGAGTTTGCTTATGAGAACGCGAGTAGGAAAATCCATAAACTTACCGGAAGTTATAGCACGAGCGGAGTTTCCATTTGAATGGTTATGAAGCAGCTCCAACTTTGGAAAGGAAGTTGAGGAGGGGAAGGAATGGAGAGCCATTTCCATGGCTATCTTCTGTTGTCTTCCAATCCTCAAACACTGATCTGTAACGCCACCCACATGGCTGTTTATTGCCTTGCCTTCTTCCATCATCACCTGAAGCAACAGAAATAGAAACCCCACAAAACAGGAAACCCAAGGCTTTGTTGTACCCATGGCCTTGCAATTTCAACACTTTCCATACATGATCGGGTTTGATAAACAGATAGTTAAATAGGTCATTGAAAATCTGATAAAACCCACATTTACTATTAAAATTTTGTGTTTTAAATAAATTTGTTGAGGCTGAACGGTTCAAACTATATGACTTTGGAGGAGGAGGGGAGGAAGGCGAGTGGAAGAACATCAAAATACTATTAAAATGGCCACGATCTGTTCTCGCACCACCCTTGAGCTATTATCAGCAATAACTCCCATCCTTACGCCTCTTTTTGGGTCGTTGGAATTACATCTCAAGTGGGTTTCATTAGTCTTAGCTTCTGTGGAGGAGCCGTCCAACAGGACAAACCCAACCGCTAAGCAAAAGAAGCAAAGAGCCCGGAACATGATAACTTGTTGTATTTTTTTTTCAGGGTCTTGGACTAATAACAATTATATGAGGAAAATACCAGTTTGGGGCATTGAATTTTGAAAGAGAAAGGTGAAGGGGCTAAGGAAATTGTGTTCGACGATTGTTCCAAACATTTAGCTTTCAATTTGGAATTTTGGGAATGGGAGGGGTTTTGTTGGTCTTTTTTCTACCACAAAATGGAAAGCTTTGTGGTAGAAAAAATAAATGAGTCCACACGTTAAGACGAGTCCACACGTTACAAGTTGTCTCCACCTTACTAGGAAGGGGGTTTGGAAGAAACATTAGATATAATTTAGAAAAAAACATTAGGGACAATTAATAGGGTTTTAATGTACAATCTAAATGGGAATATGAGGTTTGGTTGGAGTGGGGTTGAAGAATACAAGACGACAAACAGTGATTAGAACAGCCATGGAAGCTATAAGGCAGGAAATGAGAAGCAAACCGACAAAAGGTTCGGGTCCTAAACCCGGCCCATCTGGATCATCGTAGTTTGAGGAGCAGTTGAAGGTAGAAAGCAACGTCGTTTTCAAATCCGGTATTTCCCTTCTTTCAATCAGCTCCGCGATTGACGCTGATACGTCCACCGTCAACGGAGACCCTTTTGGAAAAGCCTGCCACCGGAACAAAAACATTAAATTAAATTAAAACACTATAAAATTCAAATGAAATTAAAAGCTTACGAATCCCATGCCGACGAGCTTGAAGATGGTGACTTTAGTGTAACCTTTGCAGTGTTTTGCGAGGAAGACTTTTGCATGGGGTGCCGACATGAAAGCTGCCTGAATGTCTCCAGATTCCAAGGCATTTGGGAACAGATCCACTGAAGGTATCTCTTTGATATTCTCTACGTGAAACTGCATCACTTCTGATAGAGCTCTCTTCATGACAGACCCTTTGTTGCACCCCACTGTCGCATTTTGGAGCTTAAGGGTTTCAATGTCAAAATCGATGGCTGGGACCTCGAGATTGTCATCATGGACGACAGACTGGCCGTGAAACTTGCTGTCACAATAAGGATGGTGAATAGCCATGGCCCTAGCACTAGTCGAGCCAATCCACTCTTTACAGGTTCCCCTGCAACATAACATTCATACTATTATTACATTTTTTTTTTAAGCGTTACACAAATTCTGCATGCATATAGTGAATTACTTACTATGCAAGTAAAAAATGAGTGATACCGAGAACCATAACATGCTGCCAATTCCCTTCAACGCATCGTTATGTTTACGCTCAACCAGCCAAATTGCAGAGCTCACAAATATATGCATGGAGAGCATGAGCAGCCACATTGGTGCAGTGAAAGCTCTCATGAAAAGCCATATTCGAGTCCACTTCAATGGCTTCTCCTTCACTATCATCACCACTGAATTTTCCAAATATGGTTCTGAAAAATCCACGTACTTAAATCGATCCGCAAATATCCCAAAATCTCCCACTGCCCCATCAAACTCCTACATCAATCATACAAACCCACCAATTAAACACCCTAAATTTTAGAACAATTTTAAATACTTTTCTTGGGGTAATAATTTTTTTGAAAACAATTAAACATTGCTTTACCTTCTTGTTGACTTCTCTCAACAAATCATCATAAGATATATTGCGAGGGACGAACTCGTAGAGTAGCTTTAAATTTTCTGCAACTTTTTGAAACACGTTAATGGAGAAGCCGGAGATATGATGATTGTGATCCACTCGCACAAATTCTTGAAAGGCAGCTGTTGTTGGAACCCCAATCCTTAATGGTTTCTTTGGGGACATAATATCCCAACCCTTTCGAACCCTTCTTGCATTACCTGTCAATATTAGTTGTTCTAACCATGTAATCAGTATTTAAACACAAATTTAAAATTTTTAAAATTTTAAAACCTATTTATTAGGAAGGTTGTTTTTACACCCCTTCTTTTTATAAAGAATGTTTTAAAATCAATCGTTACTGTTTTATTCAAATTGAAAATAAGAAAGAGTGTTATAAGAGAGGTTTAGTCAACACCAACCTGGCCAGAGGACTAAGGTGGATAAATTGACGGCGTCATTTGGAATGTTTGTTTGTTGATTTAACATGTCAGAAAATCCAAACCTGGTTGACCAAAATGCAATCTCTTTATAGCTTTTTCCAAATACGTTAATGATCTGAAAAGTGGGTACATGTGACAATATGCCATTCTTAAACCCAACCGACCCACTCAAGCCTTCGAAGTTGCTTTCCACAACTTTTTGCGGCCACTGATTTCCTTGCAACTCATCCATGCTGGAGGCAATTGCCCTATATGCATCATAAGCTCGAACTGCGAAGATACTTGGGTCACCTTCTCCTTCGTCTTTTGGGAATTCAGACAAATAATCCCTCCGGAATTTGGTTTTGAATTTCTTGAAACAGGGTGTTCTTTCATCAAAGTAAATCTTACACCCAATAACACCTTGCAAGTAATGGAAATCAGAGGAATCTAAAGAATCAAGAAGGTTGGCCATCTCATCCCCAACAATCCAAACGTACCCTTTTGTCATCATATTCAATTCTTTTGCTTTTTTGAAGAGAAGAGTGGCCAACTCCACTGAAGATTGCACCAAAACGTAAACCCTGTTGCTGTTACTGCTGAGGTTCATAAGCTTCTCTTCGGTGATTTGCTTAGGATCTGATAAAGAGAAAGCAATGTGATTTTCAATCTCTGAGTTCACATCTCGTAGGGAATCAGATAGGAGTTTTAGAATTGCCATGTTATTGGTCGTAAAGTCGTCGTTTCGATCTTCGTAGAGCGCAGTGACTCTCTGCCATCGGAATTCACCAACAATGGCTGCAAGGCACCGCATTTGGTGGGTGATATCGTTAGCCATTTGAAGAAATGACGTCGGAATCTGCTTCGTCGGTGGTGGTACTATGGAGGCTGAAGATAACGATATGATAGGGATATTCTTGGAGGCTTTGTGGAGCTCAAAGATTGCAGATACTTCCTCCCTTGTCAATGTTCCAAACATGGCTTTCACTCTTTTGTGTGTAATTAGATTTAAAGCTGTTATAAAAATAAACAATTAGATTTTTAAAAAAACTTTGGAACAATTTTGCCTAAAGTTTTAGGATTCGTTAAGGTCATTGTTAGGAATCACGACTCTACCCAATGTTACGATATTGTTCACTTTGAGCAATAGCCCTCATAATTTTGATTTGGACTTTCCTTAAGAAATGGATTCCTTACTTATAAACTCATTATTATTCTCTAAATTCTCTAAATTAGCCAATGGAGGACTCCCTCCTAACAATCCTCAACAGTGATGATAGAATGAGCGGTAGAGAAATGGTCGATCTTACCGGTAGCGACAGCCTGAGCGGAGTTGTCGGGCGAATCCTGGAGGAGGAGCTCAACCTTGTGACATGAATTAGAAAAATGAGGATTTTGCTTGAAAGCCATGTGAATGGCTACAATCTGTTCCCTCCCCACTCTTGAGCTATTATCAGCAATAACTCCCATCTTCACTGCTCTTTTTGGGTGGTCCCCGGAACATCTCAGGTGGGTTTCATTAGTCTGAGGCGTTGAGCACAAGCCATCCAACACGAGAAACCCAACCAAACAGAAGAAGTAAAGAGATGGAAACATAGTGTATGTTCAAGTTTTGGAGATGAGACATTGTGAGAGGTCTTATCCTCCGCCCAATTAGACAATGAGAAACTTCCTCTAGCATTAATGAAGCAAGACTTTGGTGCAAGAAGACTGCGAGCATCTTGCCTGGAAAGAAGATGGTTGGATAATTACAGGTCTTGGTCCATGAGAAAGAAATTAGTGAAGGAAGGTATTATATTGTGGCCAATATTTAAGATATTGCTTGGCCCACAGCTATTAATGAATTATTGTCTTTAAAGCATATATATTCCGAATAAAAACAGCACATTCCATGGAATATTCCCTCCTACTTGACTTACAACATTGACTTGGAATTATTTGTTGCATAAAACAACGCTAAACCACAGCTGAATGTATCTAAACACGCCTCCATATTTAATGAACAATACTAAAACAGGGTTGCAGAATGTGTCTACAACTGTTCTCGGGTGTAGGCCTGGTCTAAGGTACGGTCTTGTGAGTCCAATTGGAGTTTTGAATCCAGCCCCAGTTTGGCAATCATGAATTGTAGGCCGATATATAACAAAACGAACAAAGCAATAGAGCCACAAACAAGGAATAGGCCTACGAAAGGACGAAGTCCTAAGCCCACCCTATTTCCTTCGTCAGCTGAGGGGCATTGGAAAGAGTTGAGTAGGGTTTTTTCCATTTGTGAGATATTGTTTTGTAGGGTTAATTCCGCGATGGATTTAGAAACTTTGGCAGCAAGATCTGACCCCTTTGGAAATGCCTATTATCAAATAAAATATTTTGCTTATTTTCAAAATTAATTTTGACTGAACAAATTTGAGTGTAATTTTGAAGGAATATATATGATACTCACAAACCCGATCCCGCCGAGCTTGAAAGAGGAAACGCCTTTGGTGTAGCGTTTGCAATTTTTTACGAGGAAAACATCTGCATGGGGGCTTATGAAGAAAGCAGCCGTAATGCTACCATTCTCAAATGCCTTTGGATAATCATCTATGGAGTTCATCTTCTTAATTCTTGCATTCTCAAATTTGAGGCTACCATTTAGGTAGTCGCATATGAAAGACTCGGCATTGCACCCAACCGTGGCATTCATCTCCTTCAACATTTCAACAGTGGTCACCGACGGTTGAGACCAAGAGATCGTCAACATCGACGTCAAGCTCGCTGAGAAACTCGCCGTCACCATGAAAATCGCAAACAACCACGGCCCCAGCACCAACCGAGCCAACCCATTTTTTACCGGCTCTCCTGCATTATTATTGAAGTAATAGATATGGACATGTATTGTTGTTTATTAGATCATAAGTATTATAAGGGTTTATAAGAAAGGACTTACTTTGCGTGTAAAAGATGAGGGAAACAGAAAACCACAGCATGTTTCCAAAACCCTTCAACTCCTCGTTATTCTTGCGTTCAATTAACCAAATAAGGGAGGAAATGAAAAGATGCATTGTGGGTATTAACACCCACACTTCAGGTTTAAAAGCATCCATGAAAGCCCACAACTTTCTCCCATACTTCTCCCTTACCACCATCACAATGTCCGTCTTTAAATATGCCACAGTGAAATCCACTTGTTGAAATCGCTTTGCCAATATTGTTATGTCCCCCACTGCTCCATCGTATTCCTAACACATTACATTCAATTGGTGCGAGTCTTTTGAGTAAACCAAAAGTAAAATTATGAGAGTTTATACTCAAAATAGACAATATCATATCATTATGAAGTAATAATAGTTATGTTACCTTCCTATAGACTGCATCTATCATGTCATTATATGAGTGGTTGAAACGAGCAAATTTGAAGGACGGCATATTTTTAATGTTTTTCATAACCTCATTAAACACAGCAATGGAAAATCCACTGAAATGTTCGGTTCCATTCTCAAACGTGTGCATGTTTACGAATTCATGACACGCTCCTTGCCCTGGAACAGCAAATGTCAAATGTTTTTCTCCATCACCATCTTCTCTGGTAAAGCTTTCTGATAAATGTCTTACACCCACCATACTTCCCATATTGTTGGATCTAAGAGCTGATTTTTTATTATTTTCCTCGAAGCTCTCAGCAAAACCTGATTTGGGTGTCCAAAAAGCAACTGGCTTGTAACTTTGATCCACCACTTTAATGATTTCAAAATTTGGTGATTGAGATATTAACATCCCATTCTTGAATCTCACCATTCCACTAAGCCCTTCAAAATTGCTCTCTAGAATTGTCTCCAATAGTTGATCACTTGAGCTTAAATTATTATCTCCCAAAGTTTCCATGGCTCTGGCGATGGATCGAACCGCGTCGTAAGCTCGAACGGCGAAAATACTAGCTTTTATTGGATCTTTATCTTCTGGATATTCTAAATTGTACATCTTCTTAAACCTGGTTTCGAAGCTCTTGAAGGACTTTTTGGTGTCATTGAAATATGTTCGAAACCCAATAACACCTTCCATTTTGTACAAAAGAGAAGAAGAAGAATCTAAAGTGGGAATGAGATCTAAAACATCATCTGAGACGATCCAGGTATATCCATTTCCAACCATATTCATTTTCTTAGCTTTTGTAAATAGAAGATCAGCCAGCTCTAGAGAAATTTGTGTTACTACAAAAACCCCATTCCTTTGGCTGTTCAAAACCCTTTTCAATTCATTTTCAATCAATATTTCAGCTTGATTGGAGGAAGAAGATAAGGCCAGACGGTGATCGATCTCTACATTGACCGACCGAAACGAATCAAAGAGACGATCGGGCGAGATGGAAGAATATTCAGAGGGACGATCAACATTTGTGATTTCATAAAAGAAGGTGACTTTTGGCGGCAATTGAAAATGGGTCAAAATTGAAGCAATGCATTGCATGCGGTGGGTGATGTTGTTGGCCATTTGAATCAAAGATGGGATTTTTTTAGGCTGTAATTGTGTAGCTGAAATGGAAAGGATGGGAACTCCGACAGGAATTTCATGGTCGGAGAAGGCAACCAAATCCTGCGTTCTCACTGATCCAATAACTACCGCTTTGACTCCTCCGTCGGTAATGAGATCCAAAGCTGTCGGAAAAACGGTTACTTACTGATTCTTTACATACGATGATTAAGTTGACTTATAAAGTACTAAAAAAACCACAAATTAAACTTTTATATCATTGAAATTGTTAAATTTTGTATGATTCAATGTTCCACTTGATGATTTATGTTTATATATTAATTAATTAAATCCAAAGTCAAACAATTAGGAAATCTTGTAAGCCTTTACCTAACATACTCTTCAATGAAATGGTATTTTTATAATATAATTATAAAAAAACGACTTATGAAATTTTGTAGCCGTCCAAATCCTATCTTTTCTCTTACTCTATCTATTCATGAATGTTTTATAAGAACATAATTTTAGTCCACATAATATGTTATTTTATTTTTGGAGAAAAAAATCATTGCAAATTCGCGAACTTCTTTTTTAGTACAATAAAGTCGAGTTACCGATGAGTTAGGTTAATCTGGACTAAGGTTTTGGTTTGAATTTTCATTTTGATCGAATCCATACAAGCATGGCATAAAATTAAAAACTAAAATCCACTAATGCTGATAATTAAACAAAATCTTTCAAAACTTTTAAATTTGAACAATATTTTTGTTTTTCATTTAAATTTTCATATTATATTAAAGGAGGTTTTATATCCATTGAAAACGAGGATGTTTAATTTTGTTGTGTAAAATAATTAAGAGCATGTGAATAAAGGAGATTAAGATAAAGGAGAGTTGAAGGAGAATACCAGAAGAAGTGAAGTTTGGATGAGAATCATGGAGAAGAAGCTTCAACTTATGACAAGAAGAAGACAAATGAAAGTGCCTCAAAGCCATCTTCATTGCTACCATCTGCTGCTTCCCAATTTGAGACCCGCTGTCGAAAACAGCTCCAATTCTCGTAGGTTTATTGTTTGGTTGGTTTCTTTGACAGTGGAGTCCTTCTGAGCTCAGCAGCAACAGCAAAAGCAACCCCAGAAAGCAGGAGGGGCGGCAGAAGCCATTACGAAGAATCATTTCTTGCACTTCTTTTTCTTTTGTTCTTGAGAAATTATTCAAGTAGTTTGATCAGTGTTTGTATTGGCAGCGGAAAGTTGGGGCGGATCAATTCTTGATCTCCTTTGCGTTACAATTACACACACACATATATATATATACTGAAATTAGTGATTTAAAATTCATAGTCCTGGACTTAAGGTTTTGATGAACTTTTGAAAGAATAACAAAATTAATGACCTGTCAATTTTGTTACTTTAATATTAACTAAGAACAAAAGGGAGGAAGGAAATTTCAAAGGGGTTTCCTTCGCATTTAAATGGCCTAGTTTTTCCAAGTCAACGATTGGAGAGAGGCTTGAAACGGAGAGGATGGAGGAGTGATGGATAAGAATGGGATAAGAATTTTAATATCTTTAATGTACAACAAACATTGCAAAAACTTGGATTTGGATGGTTATTACTGGTCCAATAATTTTACTTGAAATGATCAAACCTTCTTGACTTGCCTATCCTCGCGTCTTCCTGCGGCCTTCTTTCTCAAGCTTTGAATCCTATGGTTGGTGCCATTTGAATGTTTCTTCCCAAACATAGTCTGAGGAGCACGAAATGGTTGTTTTTTAAACTTTTAAAACTTCGTTAAAATTCAATGAGATCTTACACCAATCTCTATGAGACTTGTAATTCATGAATGTTTATACTCAAAGTGACCAAGATCTCGCATCAATTGAATAGGGGAACAAAGTCTACGAGTTCCATAGATTTCGAAATGAGGTGGATTGTGAGATTCCACATCGATTAAAAAAGGGAAACAAAACATTATTTATAATAGTATGTAGACCTCAATATCTGCTAGCCGTAAGCTTGAATTATGAAGATGTGTGGAGAGTCCAATGTCCCTGACAAATCCATCCACAAGAGTCCGATGTTTTTCTCAATTGTTGGATTGTTTTTCCAATTAAATTTTTGGGTTTTAATCGATGGATTTTTGGTAGATGGACTTTGGGGAATCTCATGCATGACATGCTATCATGAAAAAGAGGGGTGGCAATTAATTACTATTTAATATCGCAATCAAGAACACTAAGTTGGGCAATGGATGCCAATTCCCTTTAGTTTTAATTCACAATCTTAGTAAGTTGTATACAAAGTGGGTTA